AAAAAAGTGACACTTAACTTTTAAAAATGACATTGATCGATGTTTCATCACTTTTTTTTTAAGTTTTGTCACTTTCTTTAATATATGTCACTTTTTAGACTGTTTGTCACTTTTTTTTAAGTCTCTATAGCTTTTTTTAATTTGAAACATTTTTTAAAATTTGTCACTTTTTTAAATTTTCGATAATTTTTATATTTTCATCATTTTTTTAAGTTTTTGTCGCTTTTTTTAGTAGTTGTCACTTTTTTTAATTTTTGTCACTTTTTTTTAGTTTTTGTCACTTTTTTATCAATCGCATTCTTGAAATTTCCATCACTTTTTTTAGTGATAAACATCACATTTTAATAAAAGTGACATTCTATATCATTTTTTAATAAAAATGTGACACTAAACTTTCAAAATTGATAGTCACTTTTTTACATTTAGTCACTTTTTTGAGTTTTCATCACCTTTTAAACTTGTCACTTATTTAATAAGATAAAAGTGATATGATATGTTATATTTTCCTAACATAATTTGCGTGTGGATTGTCTTGGACATGCTGATTATGTTAAGAATCGCCACCATGCTCGTGTGAATTGTCTTGAATATGCTGATTATGTTAAGAATATGATTATTGGTGCTGCACAAATGGATGGTGCTATTTTTGTGTTTGTCATTTTTTCGAGTTTGTGTCACTTTTTTTTTTTGGTCACTTTTTAAGCGTTTGTCACTTTTTTTTTTTTTTTTTTTTAAGTGTGTGTCACTTTTTCTTTAAAAAGGTGACAATCACTTTTCCTTTAAAAAAGTGACAATTTTTATTTTAAAAAAAAAATGACATAGTACCACTTTTTTATTTTACACAGTATTTTGTACTTCTAAAAAACTTTTCATATGATTTTTAAAAACACTTCTAATTTTAAGGGTATTTTTGTAAGTTGCCCTTAACTCATTCACTCACTCCAAAGTCCAAACACCCAAAAAAAAAAAAATAAATAAATAAAAAATAAAATAAAAAAATAGAGAAATTTTGTAGGGAAGTTTTTTTTTTTTGAAGTTAAGCCCATGTTCGAGCCACATTCTAGGAAAAAAATGCATTATTCAAATCAAATCAATGAGAAATGTGTTGTTAAAAAGTAAGAAAAAATTTAGATTTGCATGTAATATTATTTTATTGAAGAATGTGGAGTTGAAATGATGTCAAATCACTATTGAAAAATATAATTTTTGAAAATAATGTGGCTCAAACAAGCCATAAGTTAAATTTTTTAATTTAAAATTAACGTACAATATCACTTTTTTTAAAATAAAAATTTAAGTCTTATTTAACATGGTACAAAATAAAGGAAAAATTGCAGTCGAGGTACCAAACCTTTCGTTTATTAGCAGACTTTGTCCAAACTTTTAGTTTGTGCTACCCACTGTCCCAAACTTTTCAAAAATATGCACCGAAAGTTCAAATGGATGGAAACCATCCGTTTGACCGCTAGTTGAC